TCATTGAAATATTTTAATACCATCATCAAAATACATTGGTATTATTATTTCATTCTATCATAATTTAATAATTATTTTATGTTGTTTAGATTTTCGTTATTCTATCGTTCAACTATGATATTTAAAAAGTTCATCTTTTTAATAAATTCCCTTTACTGTATTAATTTATATTCCTCAATATTATTTTCTTGAACCATCATTTGCAGCATTACAATCTAGTTCTTCATATATCTCTTATTTTGTTATTTAAAAGTTATTAATGCCATATCTTTTAATGTCCTCTGATACGATTCAATAATAGCTACTAATAAATGAAAATACTATATTCATGTTGACTTAATATTATTATTCTTATAATTTTTCTGTTTAACCTTTTCTTGATTTTCATCGTGTATTATTTTATTTTCAAGTAATACAATTATTTTTATTGTTTTGTCTATTTACAAATCAATAACTTATATAAACATCTTCTTCTTTAGTTTCTCATATAATAAATGCTATCATTTTTCATTTCTAACGTATTATCGATTTTCTTCAATTAAAACAATGAACTACTTTAAAAACAATCTCAATTATTTTCATTACTTCAAGCTGTAGTTCTACTTCTATTTTCTTTTACTTCCATATTATGTTTCATTTGTAACATAAATGATTATCTTCTTTTTCTTTCTTTTTCATTTCACTCAAACATTTTCCAAAGATAAGTGCTAATTTCATTTCATGTTTTAAAGTTATATATTGTTCACAAATTTCCTCTTCTAGAGACTTAATGTCACACTCATTTCTTAATAACTTTTCAATAATCGTGTTATCAATATCATTTTCATTTCTTTCTCTTCAAAAAATTATATCAGCATCAAAGTCAATACTTTAACTTAAATATTTATTTCCAATAAATCCTATTAATTCAAGTCTTTTCCAATTATTGAAACATACTATAATCTTATTATTACCAGCTATATTAATAACTACTTTTCCAATTGTATCTTTTTTACTTTTAGTAAATCTATTTTATATCATTTATTTTTCTTTTTATCTTTGTAACTATTTTAATTACCGTAACAAGACTAAATTTGGGACTAACAAGGTTAAATTAGACATGAATAAATAAAAATCAATATAAATTATATGAATTGTAAAGTTTATATAAATGTTTAAAGAAAATAGCATCATAACATTAAAGACAATGAGTAATTCATTTGAATAAACACTTTCAATTAAATAAAAAGAAACAAAAATATAAAACTTGAGAGTCAATAATAAAAATGGAAAAGTATTAACACCATTACCAATTCATTTCATTGTAAATTTGAAAAAGTATAATACAAAAAGAGAAAGAAGTTACATTTAATTTAAATAAATGAATAATAAACAAGTAAATAAACAAATAAAGAATAATATCTTGCATTTACTAAAAGATAAAATACTCTTCTTATAATTCAATTAAGTAATCATTAGGTATAATATAATCGATATAAAAACATTTAATTTCGTCATAGTATTATATAACTTGATATTAACTATTAAGTTAATGTGAAGTATAGTTATTTCATACTTATAAGTATATTTTATTTTTGATATTTCTTTTAATAATAATATTTATTATCAATTATATTTTAAAACACTTAGTTGGTGATTTATTTAATTTTGTTTATTTGATTAATATCTTCATTTATTGTTATTTCAATAACCTATTCATCTGGAGTTTTATTACCCTTTATTTTTTGGTTTTTTAGAAATAAGGTATTTTATAATTTTGTATTTCTATTATTCTTTTTAATTATAATTTTTCAGAGCTTTCATTGTTTATTTGATAATGATTTTAGTCTCTTTCTATTATACTATAGTATTATGTATTGTTGATATTAAAAATTTGTTAAAATATTTATGAATTGAAAATAGTTGAAGTAATGAATAACATAATTCATAACATTAGTGTAATGACTTATGTGATAAAAGTTATTATTATTTGTTATATAAATTACTTTTATTCTCTCTGTTATAATTTACATCAATTGATTCATATCAACATCTTCTTTTCTTATAATAATTTGTATTTTCCTATTAATTTTTTTACTCTTTTTAACAACAACTCAAATTAAAATAATAAATGATTTAAAAGGAATTTTAGGAATTAATAATCTCTGAACATCACTTTTTTATACTTATATAACATTATTGAATGTCTGATTTAATTTAGTTTATATTAAAATATTCAAAATAAATGTTTGAAATTTTCTTTAATTTGAAAAATAATAGTATTTAACCAAGTTAATCCTTCCTTAAAATTATATTTCAAATTTACTTCTTTTTTTGATATTTCTCATTTCAATTTAAAAACAAAAAGACAAATAACCAAGTGTTTAAAATTGTTTATTTCTCTAAACAATGGTTTTTATCATGTTTATAAGAGAAAAAGAAATATTTTTTTTGTTTTTTATTTAATGCTATATTTAACAACAAGATTTATTTTTAAATAACACGATAAAATTGAAATAATTAAAAAAATTAATAGAATATAAAATAATAAATTATACTATAAGAATAACAACCACGTCATTGATGTTTTTATAATAAAAGACATCATTGTAGGGTATAAAAAGGAACTAATTACTAAGTTACTAATCAAATGCAAATCTTTGTTAAGACACTCACTGGAAAAACTATCACATTAGAAGTCGAACCAAATGACTCTATTGATGCTATTAAGGCTAAGATCCAAGAGAAAGAAGGAATTCCACCAGATCAACAAAGACTTATTTTTGCAGGCAAACAATTAGAAGAAGGAAAGACTCTTTCAGATTATAACATTCAAAAAGAATCAACACTTCATTTAGTCTTAAGATTGAGAGGAGGATATTAAAATAATTGAACTATTCTTTTTATTTTTGTTTGAACTAAAGAAAAATTACAATTAAAGTCAAATATGATATTATACTCATTTATATTAATAAATTTCAAATATATTTCGTTTTATATAACAAATAATTAAAATAAATTAAAATATGAAATTTCTAATTTGAAGTGATTGGAGTAAAGAAAGATAGAAATAAATACATTACAT